TCAAGAACCTGGATGTCCTTGCCACTATGGCCTTACTGATGCACCCCTAGTGCTCTTTTTCTTGGTGTAGTGCTCTTTATTACCTGTAGCTCTCTTCAGTAGATATTCTGTACTGTTTACATCTTAGATTTCCTGGGTCTCTATAGCAGCTTAGGCTTCACTGTAAAAGTTTAATGCATTGCCCTCTAATGGTAGCATCCTGCCCGCATCCCGTTCACTTTTGAATTTTAGGTCGAAACTCCCATAATCCCTTACTTTTGCATTCTGCATGATTATAAAACCAGGGTCAGCTGGACGATGTGTTCTGCCACCAATACAAGCAGTAGTAGCGTGGCTTTCTTAAACCTGACCACAGTACCCTCCAAATGTCTAGAAAACTGAGCCCTGAGAAACTCTCTCATTCCAAGCTCTGATTGGAGGGGGTTCCGTGAAGCTATTCTCTCATATCAAAAGCTTTCAAATGTCTTTTAGACTTTTATGCCTGAGCCTGTGATAGGCACTTTTTGGCCAGTTACTGAGATGCCCCACAAGCATGTTTCTCCTGGCTCAGTGCAAAGTACTTGATTTTTATTTTCTTAAACAACATCAGTCTCTTTCATAATCACCCTTTTCTTGTCCCTAAATTTTTAACTGCTTTGTGAACAAACTGCATGTTTTCAAGCTCTTCATGTTTTTGTTCCTGATTCTTAGTATTTCTCTGAAAGCATCCACCAGTACCATGCCACAACCTGAACCACTTTGAAATTCCCTCCATTAGATCTATTAGTCTGTTGCCTTTAAATTCACCCTCAAATTAAATTTTTTTTAAAAAAATGAAAAAAAGCAGATAACTGCTTGCCAGAAATTAACTGACATGTGTGACACCTAGGCCAATCCCCACCTGAGTTCTAGTTCCCACCTAAAACATTATAAAACAGTTATTACATTATGCATTCCTATTAACATTTAGATCTTCTAAATCATTCTAGATCATTCTAGTCTCCCATTAGAATCATCCATCAGTCTGTGCTTGTAGCATTATACAATTTCTGTATCCTGAATCTCCAAACCTTTCAAATAATTCTTCAAATAAATTAAAAGGCTTACATGCTACATATTCAGATAGAGTCACAGCAAAATCTTTACTTCTTGCTACTAATATTGTGCATGAGGAAGTTTCCATCGATGGGACAAAGTACCTGATATACACAATTTAAAGGTCAAAAGTTTATTTTGGTGCATAATCTCTGAGGTTTTCTGCATGCTTATAAAACCAGGATTACCTGGGTGATGTGGGCTTCCACCAACATGAGCAGTAAGCTGGGTTTCATAAACCGTTTTTCTGGACTTAGGCTCTAAGGCCAAAACATCATGGTAGAAGGATATGGTAGAAAAAAATCTCCCCATCTCTTTGAGGCCAAGAAATTGAGTTGGAGGGAAAAATCCTAACAGACAGTGGCCAGAGAGGCCAGATTTTGTTTCCATGGTCTAAAACTCACCCAGATATAAACAGGTATATATGTGTGTTATTAATCTTTCAGATGTCTCTCAAGCTAATCAAATAGACGCTAAAGATTAAACATTACTGTAAGCTTTTTGTATCATGAGTAAAATAAAAATTGGTCTTGAACTCAGTGGCAATGAATATAAAATATACAGTAAATATGATGTACTCAAACAGAAATACACAAACTACAGTTCTAAGTAATGTATTGGTTGGTTAATGAAAGTGTATGACTGAGGCTTGCAGAAGTATAGCACTGTAGTTCTGTTTGGAGCCGTGATTCAGTCAGCACTCTGTGGCTTAGGATTCATGTAGCTTCATAAACACAACCACCTTCAAAAACAAGCCTTTACTGCAGCTAGCATCTAATCTTCACATTATTAGTGAGAAGTAAAGCAAAACTTTGAAATATTTTATACAAAATAAAACTTAATATACTAATAATTATGTAAATCACTGTATTTTAAGTGCACATCTGGCTGATTTGAAAAATTATTTTGAAAATGTTAAGTACTTTTCTTTCTTCACAGATAGATGAAACCATGACTCCACTCTCTTGGGACTTTTAAAATATCACATGGCATATTATTTCTTTCAGATGACATATAATTACAGCCGAACTGAATTAAAAAGAGCTACATTTCTGGCAATAATATTGAATGATATTTTGTAACTGTTTACTGCACAAACAGTTAATTTCATGCACCACAGAAAACCCAATCAAGAAACATTGTTTTTAACAATAAAGAAGACAAATTAACAGGTATTTTTAAAATGGAGTTAAATCTCCAATTCTGTTAATGTGTATTCATTTTTATTTTTTCAAATGATCCAGGTGAAGAGATGCTAAAACAGATTTGCCAACAGTTGCAAATTCTATATTCATTGTTTTAAATAGTAGACTAAATTTACCAGACTCACTTAAGATTCAAAATGCAAATCATAAGAAATGTTTTATTTTAACATTTATTTGAGGTGATATATTTAATTTACATTTGTGTATGTGTGCAAGAGATAAGTAAAGTAGTTTGTATAAAGTGTACACTATTCTTCATGTTGCATGGCAGATTAATTTAGTGAAAGTATTCACTAGGACTTGGGAGTGTAGATCAGCAATAGAGCATTGAATTAACGTGTATGAGGCCCTGGGATCAATCCCAACACTTTGCAAAGGAAAATTAGAAAATCAACAAAATCCAGGTTAGGAGCCATGCATCATAGTTCACACAATAGCTCAACAGACTAAGTATATGCTTAGGCAAGCACAGGGACTGGGGTTCCATCCCAGGCACTACATGCCTCACTGGCCCTACCCCTGGGGCACACTGAGCTGGCCACATGCTGCATGTCTGTAATCCCAGTGCTGGAAAGGCTGAAAACAAGAAGGATCACTAAGAATCCAAGCTGCATAGTGAGATACTATACCAAATATTTTAATAAATAAATAAATAGTGATCTATGGACAGAGACATGCTGTAAGTTGTTAAGTTTCTAAGAGCCTTTCAACTGATTGAAATAAAAAACAGAAACATATGATTTTAATAGAATGTGATAATTACCTTATGGAAACACAACTTTTATAAAACAGTGTGTAGGATGGGGACATACATCAAGAGAGTTTAACATTAAGCAGGATATCAGCTTTATTAATAGTCTCAAAACAAAGCTGATAATAACTCATATATGTATTAATTGGTAAAAAGTTCAATGAATTTTATTATATACATAAGCAGAATATTATTGAACAATAAAATGTTATGGGCTATTTAGAAAAAAAAAGGAGATAGGGAATCTTTTTTTAATGAATTTAGGACAGGATCTACAGGGTGTATGGGGTCTCACTACATAGATTGGGCTCATAGTGATTCTCCTGTTTTCAGCTTCCCAAGTGCTGGGATTACAGGCACGCATCATCACTCCTGCCACAGGGGCAAGGCCGGCATGGCACGCTGGGGCTTGAATCCTAGCCACTGAGCTCTGCTGAAGCAGGCACTTTAGTCCACTGAGCTATCTGGCTGGGCCGAAATAGAGAATCTTTAAATAAATTTTCTATTGTAATAAGATGCTCTAAATGTTATATATTATATTATATGAATATAATACTCTGGGTACAGCAAAACTGTAGGCATAGTAAAGAAAGATTAATGACTTTTAGGGATTTAGAGAAAGAGGGAAAGACGAGTAGATGAAACAAAGAGCAGTTTTAGAGGTGTGAAACAATACTATGTAATAGGGTATGAATACATGACACTATGTATTTGTCAATATTCATAGACCTTTACAAGAGAGTAGGAGTCAATACTAGCAAACTGAAAAGTCATTATGGAAACGTTTTGAGACTCAAGGAATGAGTACAATGTATAACAGGAGAATCAGACTGTAATACAAGGAAGGAAACTTCCTCAATAAAGGGAAAGGGTCAGGAACTTGTTGGCACAGCTAATCAAAAAAGGTTTGGAACTCTTGAGACCAAAGAAAATTATTCTCTCATTGATGAAATTGTTTCACATTTGGGTTTTTGTTTGTTTGTTTTGTTTGATTTGGTTTGGAGTTTTGTTTGTTTGTTTTGAAACAGGATTGTGTTATGAAATTCAGATTGGCCTGGAGCTCACTATGTATCCCAGGCTGGCCTTGAACTTTGGGCAATCCTCCTCCCTCTGCCATGGAGTGCTAGAATTAGGTATGCACGCCATACCTGTTACTATTCCCCATTGAATGTGGGTAAACAATTCTGATACTACTACTGGAAATGAATCATAAGGAAATACATGCTAAATGATGAAATTTATACTTCTCACTACTGGAATTAGAAATGAAGTAGACTACACTAAACACATAGTAATGGGTTAGAGTTTGGAGTAGGATGAAATTATTCTTCATATAATAAAAATAGATGGTCACACACATAAGTACTCATAGATATATGTACATAACTGCATGTGCACACAGATTTCTGTGCACTGCCAATTATGTAAATCTGATTTCTCAATAAGATAAGAAAACATATAGCCCAGGTATTGATTTCTAATAACAATTTTCAAAAAAACCCACAAACAATAACAGCAAAATAATAACCTAGTTGCATAAATGGATGGCTCTAAGATATTCATTTTCTTGTCATTAATTTTATTGTGAAAAATAGTAATAAGACAGTTTTAATATTAATTAGTATGACACTTTCAATAATTAATGCATTGCATATTGTTGTCTTCGTAGTGGTTACTCATAGTACAAGATGCAGACATGATATGCTGTCCAAACACTATTAGTACAAATCTTTCTTCTCACTGAATTAAGAGAAAGTAGCTGTATATCTGTCCTGTATTGTCTATACAAACACAAAATGGTCTTTCATTTGTATCCCCTTTTTTTGTTGAGTTTTGTCAGAAATGGGTATTCCATTGCCATTTAAATATTGTAGGTGTGTGAATTCAGAAAAATAATGAATATAGCCCAGTAGTCCATAATAATAGTGGGTTATCCATAGGACTGCAATGTCGTAAGTTGTTGACTTGACCAAAAACAGTGATAAGAAGCCACTATTAGGTGCAATGCCTTAACCATACCCATGTTGTCAGGTCTGAGGGCCTCTTTCATCCTTGTCAAGGGGAGTGCTAACCTTCTCTTCTTTCATACAACACGATATTCACTTTCTTAATGCAGGGAAACTATCAGATGAGATAAGAGTGTCTTGAAGTACCCTGTAATTTGGAAGTGCTCAAGGACAAAACAAAGCAGCACCAGTGGGGTTGTGCCCACAGGACAGAGGAGCAAAAATCTAGACAGCCAAAGCTAAAAATCCATTTGAGCAACAAATAAATACAACTAACAAAGTATCATGAAATTATTACTATAGGTAGAAAAAAATCTTCTGACATAAAAATCATTGAGTTAATAAATAATAAAACAAAACAAATCTCCTTCATTTAAGAATGCTTTACATAATGACTCGCTACCAAAGAATTCATTATGAAAAAGGGAGGAAAAGAATAACATCACAAATGAAGGCAGAAGACAGGAAAAGGAATGTTGTGGGATCGTCCTGCTTCAAAGTTGTATATGATTAGATTTTTGGACTTAGGTGTAAACATAAGAAGTATATAATTCTTTATACCTATTTTTAAAATATATTCTAATTTTTAAATGTTTTCTCATCATATTCTGTAGGGACTTAAAGTTCCACATATCAAAACATGATGAAAAATACCTGCTCCTTGTTATGCCTAAGATGTTTGATATTTACACAGATAATGAGGTTAAGCTTAACAGCCTAGGTTGCATGGTAATAACAATAAGCTTGTCTTCTGGAGGGTTAGCAACCTAAGTTTGCAGACCAAAATTAGAGAAAAAGGAGAACTGCAAAGAAACCCAACATTTTGGCCCTAGCTTTTCAAGGTCAGTGAAGACTCAGGACATGGGAGAACCTATACTGTAACATTATATAACTCAGTGGTGTCCCAAATTTTCTGATCAAGAAGATTATGGGACCAAAGAGGAAAGTGATTGATGATGTAGAATGTGCCTAAGGAGAGTCACATGGAGAGAAAACATTCTCTAAGGCTTTCACAGAGAGCACATTGGCCAAGCAATGGCCATGACTCATCTACATGGCTGACACTGACAAAGGTTCTACAATCTGAGGTACAGGATCTCAGGATAAATCCTGAGGGGACTTCACTGATCTTATCAGACCCAAAAGCTGCAACTCTTGTTGCGTAGGTCTTGCTTTATCTTCGTCTTAACCAATCAGCAGAAAAGTATAAAAATGAAATATAAGAAGTAAAGCCATGCTGTTATGTTGAGCTGTAGGGGACTCAGGTCAACAATTGCTGACATT